GCCAACATCAGAGGAACGGCGAGTACTGTCTTTGTGCGCGGGCACATAATTTTAAAAAAACGCTTTGTATTGATCTTTGGCAATGTGAGTGTGCAATTGTCAGGAGACACATTAAAACCTTTTTAAAGGATATAAGCACCATGTGGGGATTTCTCTTCTTTTTCATGGCCTAAATCGGAGGAGCAAAGAGGAGGAAGAGGAAATAGGAGACAGACCCAAAACCACACGAGGGGAGATACCTATATCTATCCACTCATCCCTCATACTCGGAAGGAACTGGGAGGCCATCTAGGGGAAGGAAAGCAACATCACAGTCTACTATCACTTTAGACTTTTCATATATCTACATAGATTGGGACGTTTATATTTCAGCCTAAATAAGAATTAGGAGCACGTAATCCTAATCACCGTCTCAGGTGGTACAAGTGGAGTGATAACCATACATGATTTGCACGTTTTTTTGTATTATTTATTAATAATTAATTGAGTATTGCATTTCATTATATATATATTTCTCATTGTTTAGGGCAATATTTGCATTTTTTGCACATGCATAAATTTTTTTGCACATATTCATTATTGATCAAAGAGGTTTCTCTTTGTTTACTTGATTTGTGGGCACATTATATCATATATTTTATCATTATTATACACATTATTTTATTTATTTTTTATATTAATTATAGCACTGGGCACGTTTTTACTTTATCCACATTACAGTATTATGAGATTATATTTATTTTATTTATTTATTTAATTTATCTCAAACATACGTCATAATATAGTAATTCATCCCCCCTATAGTAATTAATTCCCCATATTGTGTCAATTCACTTACCTTTGCTCCGCGCGTTCCTCTCGCCGTGTTCCCGCGCCGTTCTGGTCTTCAGGGCGGACTGTGAGAGGAGAGGAGTTCGTCACGCTGCCCCGCCTACATCCTGACAGCCAATGTTTGCCAGCGGGCGCCCGGCACACAGAAGAGCTGCATTAAAAGAGCCGCGGCTTGCCGACCTTATTGCCTGTCACCTGGTGGGCAGCGTGCTCCGGAGCCGCAGGAAAGGTGAAAAAGAGCCGCATGCGGCTCCGGAGCCGCGGGTTGCCGACACCCGCTGTAGGGGATCGAGGAGGTTGTTGTCGTTGAGGTGAGAGCTTAGGCGGGTGTAGACTAGGCGCTCGAGGAGTTTGGATGTGAATGGGAGCAGGGAGATGGGTCTGAGGTTGTTCGGGTCATTGGGGTCCAGGGAGGGCTTTTTAAGTATGGGGGTGATGTGTGCATGCTTCAGAGGGGAGGGGAAAGTGCCGGAGGAGAGGGAGAGATTAATAAGTTGCTTAGTGGTTTCCGTGGTTAAGAACGGGCATATCTTGGAGATGTTGCGGAGGTGAAGTCTACAAGAGTTGGACAGTGATTGGATTTTGGGGCAAAAGGACAGATGGAAGTCCAGGATTACACCTAGCACCCTGGCATGAGGGGAGGGATTGATGGTTGTATTGTTGATCTTCATGGAGAAGTCAGGGGAGGAGGCTTGGCCTGGAGGGAATAGTATGAGCTCCGTTTTGGAAAGATTTTGTTTGAGGAAGTAGAGTGGCATTTATGCTGACATGTCACTTAATAGGTTTGTAATGCAAGAGGAGACTGAAGGGGTGAGGTGAGGAGTAGAAAGATAGATTTGTGTGTCATCAGCATAGAGATGGTACTTAAAGAATTATATTTCAGATTGGGTGCCCTTTCTATGAGTGAGTTGTGTGATGGATGTTTAGCGCTTGTATCAGGGGTCAGTGACTGATCATCTGACATACTTGTGCTTTAAGGTCACTGCAACTATTGATCTGAAGGTAAAAAGTGCAATTACACCTTTTTAATGAAAACCGCTGCAATCATTATAGGTGAAGTTTGTCAGATCTCATATTAAGACAATCAATACTGTACTATTAATAAGTATTGAATACGTGCCGACGTAGTTCTGTTACTTAAAGTGGACCTTTCACCTTATATTGGACAGATCTGGTTGGTCTATCATCCTAATCCTCAATTATGGACAAACATGTAGCATTTAGTTAATAAAGAGCCGACTTTAATCATCTGCCTGCTTACCAGGCTTTTATTCTATGCATTGGAGATGTAGTCAATGCTTTCCTACAGTCTTTTGGGAAGGCTAGGCTACTAGAGGCTGCAGGTGGATCTCAGATCTTGGTAGATGTTGGATATGTAAAAGTGAAATCGAATGCAATTTTGCCAATTTAACAAGAATTCAATTGTACATACACAAACGTGCATCCATACATGCATTAAAAAAAACATATTGTGTGCATTTCTATACAGTAGGTTATCAGACATCTCCTGTTTCTGGGGACAGTTCCAATTTTAGAGGGCTGTCCCCAAGTTTGACCCTGGTTAATAGAATTTGTCCCATATTTCTTTCCAGCTTTAGTAATGGGGTTTCCACCCAAACGACTGAAGGGTAATTCATCTTAGCAAGATTTCTGTGATTGGTCTGGAGCAGTTGGAGGGGAGAGAGGGATGTGTCTGCTCCCAGCTGTGTTCGGGGTAATTGATGATGTCACATGCCAATATTACATGGTCTTCCCAGTCCTCCCCTTTTAGCTTGTCCAGACTTTGTTGCTGGAGATAAGAATGTGGATTATTTGCCGCCTTGCTTGTAGCGATCACCTGCAGTGCTCACCTTGGCCTGCACTCCTGACCCAGAGCAAAGTAGGCTCAGATATTATTAAACCATACCCTTTAAGCCCATTCCACTGGTAGCACTATTTGGCCACACCCAATATTTAGCATGGCGCACTTTGCATGGTGCTATTATTCCTACCCCTTGTTCTGCCCCTGTCCAATAAATGTGGGCATGGTCAGTAAGGTAGTCCTGGATTTTATTTGGAACATCTGGTTACCAAACTATACATGTACAGTTGAAACCTAATGAGATTGCCAAAATCCTGCGAAATGTTTTTATTTTAATTTTCAAGATCTGCCTGAAAGCACAGTGCCTAAACTGAAAGTGGTATTAATCCCAAAACCAGAAATGTAATATATTCAGAAGATGTGGTGGCTGCTTTCATTTTCTTTTTTTAGGCTTTTTCCCCTCTGTTTCACCTGCCCAGTAACACACCTCCTGTATTAGAGTGCCCCACGCTGGATGAAGGCACACAGGGGACACCTTTGGACAGCAGTATTGTCAGTCTGGGGGAAAGGGAGTGTTAGATGCACTAGCAGATTTAGATACATTAACAAACTGAAGCCAAAATTCAGTTAATACTTTATAAGCAGTTACAGCAGTTTTTTCTTTCTTTTTGGATGAAGGTTTAACATAAATAAAAGCTGATCATTGCAAGCTGTCAGTGGTAAATGGTCTGACCCAACCCTGCAGCTGTGACATCTGCAGGACAGGTTGTTCTGTTGAAAAAAAAAAAACAGACTTACTGGCTAGATAACCAGGTGAAAATAAAGGAAAGAAAGCCAACACATCTCAAAATAATAAATGCTTTCTTTTCGTTTTAATAATGCTGAAGGTCTGTAAGCAGGGAGCAAATCAAAATTGTTGCCTTGTATGTTTTTTATGCATCTCTGCTCAGGTACAGTCAAAACCTTGTATGGGTATTACATTCCCAATAAGAGATGTATCCAAAGTTGCACCTAAAGATTACATAAAAGTCAAGAAATATAGGATAACTCATGACTATACACCCCCAAAAAAAAGGTAATCTTATCCAAACACACAAGCAGATACTGAAGCCAAGAAAATGAATCCGTGTTATATGATAGGCAATAAATACTTAAAATCTTATGCTAAGGTGTTAAAGTGAAACCCTAAATTCCAAAGCAAATACCAGGCTATTGTTGTAAAGTAAATGTCAGTCCCTGGTGAAGTTATTGTTTCATCTCTGTCAGTCCCTATTGCTTTATACCTTGTTATTTGCTCTGCAGCTTTTCATGAAGCTCCTCTTCTGCCGATTTATTTGCACAGGAACTCAAGGGGTATTCCTTTGCTGCATCAGGTAAATTAATAAATGTTTCAAATTAATAAATGTTTCATTTCAGGAGGGCAGTAGAGGGTCACTAGAGGGTAAATTTGTAGGGAAAATCTCTGCCAATCTATTTTAATTTAAAAAAACTGTATAATGCAAGGGCCTACCTAAACCATCCATTTAATTTGCATTCAATTAGGTTGGTGTAAATGCTACATAGTTGTTGCTAGATCTAAAGGAGATTACACAATATTGTAACATGTTTGGTCACCTTTAGACAAATCACTTATCACTACTTTTAAATATAAATTTGGGCAATCATTTCTTTGTGTAAAGGCACAATTTTAAAGACTAAAGCCATGTAGGCTGAAACGCGTCAACATTTTGTATTTGCAAATTTTACACTGTGGTCTTCTAATAAATGTAAGATTTTAATAAGCAGTGGCGGTCGTGCGGGTCCTTTTCTACTAAGTATTGTACACAGCTGTGGATCAGGCACCCGCGAGCTCTCTGAATCCAGGATATATGGGTAGTAGCACTATTATTATATTTGTTTCTGTACATTTTAAAATACCTATTTTTGTTCGAATGAAAGTCGATTATTAAATCAACTACATTCTTTAGAATTCAGGCTCAGAAAAACAATAGAGACTCATAGAATGATAAGAATGGTCCCTTCTGGTTATATGTAAACGGGTACTAACCACATGCCTTTATCGCCATCTATTGTGTATGGGACATCATTTTATCCCCTTGCAATGTTTGTTCCACTAAATGGTTGAAATGAACATGATCTAGTTTGCAAAATACATATCTATATTTTATCCTATCAACTGAAAATTGCATGAAGCGAGCCATGACAGCGTCATATCAATGTTGACTCGCATATCATCATTTCCCGGAAGAAATGGACATGCACACTACAGTATATTGCCAAAAGTATTGGGATACCCCTCCAAATCATTGGATTCATGGTGTTCAAATGACCTCCATGGCCACAGGTGTATAAAATCAAGCACCTAGGCATTCAAACTGCTTCTACAAACATTTGTGAAAGAATAGGTTGCTCACCCAGGAGCTCAGTGAATTCAAGTGTGGTACCGTGATATAAAGCAGAATAAGCGAGCGCTAAGAACCAAAAGCAGCCAATGCCCCGAAAGGTAACCAAAACAACAAGAACAATAAGAAAGGGGGGAATATTTATTATTGTGAGGTCCGGGTAGATAGTGCGCATGCGCAGTGGTGAATTCATTCAGTGAGGGTTATAATATCACCAGCAGAGGCACAATCCAAATTATGTGATCATATCATTATTATAAAACACCTGTTTCACAGTTTATCTGTGTATGGTATAGCTACTGCAAATTGATCCAGTACAAAAATAAATATATACAATATAAAAATGCAACGCATATGGTTAAATATATAAAAACATGATAACATTTCATTTACCTGGAAAACCAGTATAAATCCTAAAAAAATTAACATATGGGGTCCATAAAAAGAAACAGTAAGATGTAGCATATAGCATATAGCATGAATGAATTCACCACTGCGCATGCGCACTATCTACCCGGACTCAGAATAATAAATATTCCCCCCTTTCTTATTGTTACTAATAATGGGTCTGGAAGTGTAAACATCGTTTCCCTGTGCTTATTCTTGCCTTTTAGGGCTCTGGCGCAATAGCTAAATAAGCTTTTCATTTCCCTCTATTTACCTGTTGCAGAGTATTGTTATACTGCATATAATGACAAAATATCCACAGTAAAATGACACTGGCGCATGCACGGAAGCATCTCGGACTCTAGCAATATGGCAGCCGTGATGTGCACATGCGCCGCATTCATTATATATAGGCTTCACGGACGTCCCTGCATACGAGCATACCCATCATGCCTTAGCACGAAACGCGTCGAGGAGGAGCCGTACGCAGTGACGTCAGCTGCCGAGACCACGAGAAGGTCTGGCGGCCATCTTGGAATCGCATATGATCAGTGTTTTTACTTTACCTTGTCATCTGAATTACCTCAATAAATACACTTTGATATACTGCACTATGGGCTTCCCTCTTTTTGGCTCTTCATGAGCGGATACTAATACAGAGCCCATTCTGGAGGATGGCTTGGAGTGCTGCAGACTACCCAGGGGAAGGGGATTTATCGCTCTCTGACCAGACCAGGCTGCTCATTTCCTTAAAGGGACTTCCGGCAGAGAACACCATATATACAAATGCGTATTATGATTATGCATCTGGTGAGTGCATAATCTTAACATATTCACAACACCTCACCTGGATAACTATTGAGTATACGGAGCACTTACCTGAGATCATTTGATGGATCTTCACAATTAGCAATTTTATGAACTTTCCCATGATTATATATCTGATGATATATTCTGATAGACATTTAGCACCATCAAGTGCTCACCATTGTCACTCTATCAGCACTTTGATGTATAATTTTTACTTATTTGCATTATATCTGCACTTTGTCATTTTATATATCACTTATATGTGAGTTGTACATTTACACAAAGATATACAGGTGAAACTCGAAAAATTAAATTATCGTGCAAAACTTCATTTATTTCAGTAATGCAACTTAAAAGGTGAAACTAATATATGAGATAGACTCATTACATGCAAAGCAAGATAGTTCAAGCCGTGATTTGTCATAATTGTGATGACTATGGCTTACAGCTCATGAAAACCCCAAATCCACAATCTCAGAAAATTAGAATATTGTGTAAAGGTGCAATATTCTAGGCTCAAAGTGTCCCACTCTAATCAGCTAATTAACCCATAACACCTGCAAAGGGTTCCTGAGCCTTTAAATGGTCTCTCAGTCTGGTTCAGTAGGAATCACAATCATAGGAAAGATTGCTGACCTGACAGTTGTGCAGAAAACCATCACTGACACCCTCCATAAGGAGGGAAAGCCTCAAAAGGTAATTGCAAAAGAAGCTGGATGTTCCCAAAGTGCTGTATCAAAGCACATTAATAGAAAGTTATGTGGAAGGGAAACGTGTGGAAGAAAAAGGTGCACAAACAGCAGGGATGACCACAGCCTGGAGAGGATTGTCAGGAAAAGGCCATTCAAAAGTGTTGGGGAATTTCACAAGGAGTGGACTGAGGCTGGAGTCAGTGCATCAAGAGCCACCACACACAGACGGATCCTGGACATGGGCTTCAAATGTTGTATTCCTCTTGTCAAGCCACTCCTGAAACAACTTCAGAAGCATCTTACCTGGGCTAACCAAAAACAGACCTGGTCTGTTGCTCAGTGGTCCAAAGTCCTCTTTTCTGATGAGAGCAACGTTTGCATCTCATTTGGAAACTAAGGACCCAGAGTATGGAGGAAGAATGGAGAGGCACACACTGCAAGATGCTTGAAGTCCAGTGTGAAGTTTCCACAGTCTGTGTTGATTTGGGGAGCCATGTCATCTGCTGGTGTTGGTCCACTGTGCTTCATTAAGACCGGGGTCAACGCAGCCGTCTACGAGGAGATTTTGGACCACTTCATGCTTCCTTCCGCAGACGAGCTTTATGGGGATGCTGACTTCATTTTCCAGCAGGACTTGGCACCTGCCCACACTGCCAAAAGCACCAAAACCTGGTTCAATGACCATGGGATTACTGTGCTTGATTGGCCAGTAAACTTGCCTGACCTGAACCCCATAGAGAATCTATGGGGCATTGCCAAGACAAAGATGAGAGATATGAGACCGAACAATGCAGAAGAGCTGAAGGCCGCTATTGAAGCATCCTGGTCTTCCATAACACTTCAGCAGTGCCACAGACTGATAGCTTCCATGCAATGCCGCATTGAGGCAGCAATTGCTGCAAAAGGGGCCCAAACCAAGTACTGAGTACATATGCATGCTTATACATTTCAGAGGTCCGATATTGTTCTATGTACAATCCTTGTTTTATTGATTGCATGTAATATTCTAATTTTCTGAGATTGTGGGTTCGGGGTTTTCATGAGCTGTAAGCCATAATTATCACAATTATGACAAATCACGGCTTGAACTATCTTGCTTTGCATGTAATGAGTCTATCTCATATACAGTATTAGTTTCACCTTTTAAGTTGCATTACTGAAATATATGAACTCTTGCACGATATTCTAATTTTTTGAGTTTTACCTGTATATAAGATCGCATTTTATTGATTTTATTGATTTATTACTTGTTTTTAGCGCTGCGCCTTTTTCTGATTATGGTACCGTTATAGGTTGCTACCTGTGCAATAAGTTCATCCATAAAATTTCCTTGCTACTAAATATTCCAGAGACAACTGTTAGTGGTATTATAACAAAGTGGAAGCAACTGGGAACAACAGCAACTCAGCCACTAAGTGGTAGGCCACATAAAATGACAGAGTGGGGTCGTTGCTTGCTGAAGTACACAGTGCACAGAAGTCGCCAACTGTCTGCAGAGTCAATAGTTAAAGACCTCCAAACTTCATGTGGCCTTCAGATTATCACAACAACAGTGCATAGAGAGCTTCATGGAATAGGTTTCCATGGTCGAGCAGCTGCATCCAAGCCTTACATCACCAAGTGCAATGCAAAGCGTGGGATGCAGTGGTGTAAAGCACGCTGCCACTGGACTCTAGAGCACTGGAGCCATAGTTTCTAAAGTGACAAATCACACTTCTCTGTCTGGCAATCCGATGGACGTGTCTGGGTTTGGCGTTTGCCAGGAGAACGGTACTTACCTGACTGCATTTTGCCAAGTGTAAAGTTTATTGGGGGGGGGGTTATGGTGTGGGGTTATTTTTCAGGGGTTGGGCTTGGCCCCTTAGTTCCAGTGAAGAGAACTCTTAAGGTGTCAGCATACCAAGTCATTTTGGACAATTTCATGCTCCCAACTTTGTGGGAACAGTTTGGGGATGGCCCATTCCTGTTCCAACATGGCTGGAACAGGTCCATAAGGACATGGATGGGTGGGTTTGGGGTCGAGGAACTTGACTGTCCTGACCTCAACCCGATAGAACACCTTTGGGATGAATTAGAGCAGAGACTGTGAGCCAGGCCTTCTCGTCCGACATCAGTGTCTGACCTCACAAATGCGCTTCTGGAGGAATGGTCAAATGCTCCCATAGACACACTCCTAAACCTTAATGGAGAAAAAGATATTGAGTGGACTTTTTAGGCACAAAAACTCAGTACACAAAAAATAAAATGAATGTTCCTTTATTCACATATGATCTCTAAAATATGTCTTGTATATAGTTAAAATTACATTGCACACTTAAACCACAGCTGATTTCCCACAACCAACCATAACAAACTGATTCCAACAAGGGTGTTGACTACAGATGGTGAGGACAGTATATTCCTTTCAAAAGGTGGGGAATATTCAAGCTGTGCAACAGACACCCGACATGTTTCGCTACTGAAGTCGCTTCTTCAGGGGCTAGCAATGCATCTGAGAATGATAGACAAACTTGAACAATATGCATATATATGAATTTAGACAGAAATACAACATAAGAAACACTTATAAACACTTACATATTTAGGCAGTGTGCATTGTGTGACAATAGACTCCCCAGAGCAAGCAGAACCAGGTCCCTCCAGACCAACAAAGAAGGGAGCACCCACTGTCTGGTGTGGTGGTGCATAAACCAGACTACGGGCAGGTGAAAAACCCCACGTACACAATATACATCTGACAAAAATGGCCACAGAGTATATCAAGGACATTGTAAGGCACAGATCCAATGGTGATTACATCAAGAAACAACTCCACAGCCTACAGACCAGATTAGGAGAATAGAAACAATATATGTTGCTATCCTAAAGATATCTCTCACTACTCCTGCGAGAGGATCCTATATTACACAAGCATATCAAAGATTATCCTGAGTTGGTGTTCCGCAAAGCCACTTCTGTCAATTTTATCTTTTGTGTACAGAGTTTTTGTGCCTAAAAAGTCCACTCAATATCTTTTTCTCCATTACTATTTAATAGGGAGGTGGCACTATGGTATAAGTTGGGTTATGACCTCCTACCACCCGTTGGTTGCCCCATTTTTCTATTCACTCCTAAACCTTGTGGACAGCCTTCCCAGAAGAGTTGAAACTGTTATAGCTGCAAAGGGTAGGCCAACTCAATATTGAACCCTACGGACTAAGACTGGGATGTCATTAAAATTCATGTGCATGTAAATTTAGGCGTCCCAATACTTTTGGCAATATAGTGTATAAGTTAATAGAAGACTAATGCAATATAGACATATAGGCAGGTGCCGGCATTCTTCCTTCCTGTAGGTGGCAATGTGCCAGTGTTACAAGGGAAGAGGTGTTTGGTAAGGGAAGTGGTCCCTATAAAGACTCCATTAGTCCTCTGACGGAAGATAGGTTTCTGCTTTGATGCCGAGTTCTCACTTGAATTGAAGAGGCCATCTTACCATGGGAGTCTAAAAATAGGGGCTCTCATAGCATCTGGGCATGCTTAAAGTGAGTGAATGGATGGAGTGAGGAACCCAATGGTTATAGACAGTGCTCGGTGCAGGGAAAGGTTCCAGACAAGTAGGTACAGAGTAAGGGATGCTGTCTGGTGGCACAGCATTGTCTGAGATTCATTTCAGTGGGAAACTACAATTATCCTTTCTTTACCAATCTTCCAGCACAAGCCATTCTTCAGTAATGTTGGTATCAACTGTACTACAGTGTGCTAATGATAAATTACATTGTTCTCCCATGTGCCCTGAACTGTATGCATAATCTCTACTGAATTTCTGAACTGTGCCTATAAACAGTTTCAAGTGCCAAGTGTCGTGAAGGTGATTCCTTCTGAGCAGGTACCTTCACTGAGGCCCCACATACAAACAACTTGAAGAGGCATGGAGATGACCCCACAAGCCGCATACACTGCTGACCTGTTTTTATAGAGCGTTTAGCCCTTTGAGGACCAAGGGACATATTTGTCCCATGTTTTTAATTGCCTGTATCATCTGATTAAGAACTTAAAATACTTTTTTTTTTTTTTTTTGGTTTGAGTCAAAATATTAGTTCTTATCAACAAATAGATCTAGCTTTTTGCCAATTACTTCATGAAATGGCTTAGTTACAGCAACTGAAGTGTACGAACTTTAAAAACAAAAAATTGATTCTTTTGGCGTTCCGTAATCTTATGGTCCTCAAAGGGTTAGAGTACATCTTAGTCACTCTCGCATGTCATTGACAAAATGTAATAAACGGTGCTTCAGTGTGTATAGTACAGGCTGAGCTACAGTTGCAAGAAAAAGTATGTGAACCCCCTTGGGATTACGTGGAGTTTTGCATGAATTGGGCATAAAATGTGCTCTGAACGTCATCTAAGTCACAACAATAGAAGAACATAGTCTGCTGAACATAATACTACACAAACATTAGATGTTGCCATGGTTTAATTTGCACATAACATGTAAACATTCACAGTGCAGGGAGGAAAAAGTATGTGAACCTTTGGACTTAATAACTGGTTGACCCTCCTTTGGCAGCAATAACCTCAACCAAACGTTTCCTGTAGTTGCAGATCAGACCTGCACAACGATCTGGAGTAATTTTGGACCACTCCTCTTCACAAAACTGTTTCAGTGTAGCAATATTCTTGGGATGTCTGGTGTGAATCGCTCTCTTAAGGTCATGCCACAGCATTTCAATCGGGTTGAGGTCAGGACTCTGACTGGGCCACTCCAGAAGGCGTATTCTGTGCTGTTGCAGCCATTGGTTTGTTGAATTACTTGTATGCTTTGGGTCATTGTCCTGTTGCCTCACCCATCCTCTGCAGAGCTTCAGTTGGCGGACAGATGGTCGTACGTTTTCCTGCAAAATGTCTTGATAAACTCTGGAATTCATTTTCCCATCAATGACAACAATCCATCCAGGCCCTGAGGCAGCAAAGCAGCCCCAAACCATGATGCTCCCTCCGCCATGTTTTACAGTGGGGATGAGGTTTTGATGTTGGTGTGCTGTGCCTTTTTTTCTCCACACATAGTGTTGTGTGTTCTTCCCAAACAACTCAATCTTGGTTTCATCTGTCCACAGTATATTTTGCCAGTAGTGCTGTGGAACATCCAGGTGCTCTTTTGCATACTTCAAACGTACTGCAATATTCTTTTTGGACAGCAATGGCTTCCTCCGTGGTGTCCTCCCATGTACTCCATTCTTGTTTAATGTTTTCCTTATTGTAGATGTGTCAACAAAAATGTTAGTATGTGCCAGAGATTTCTGTAGGTCTTTAGCTGACACTCTGGGATTCTTCTTTACCTCATGCAGCATTCTGAGCTGTGCTCTTGCAGTCATTTTTACAGGACGACCGCGCCTAGGAAGAGTAGCAACAGTGCTAAACTTTCTCCATTTGTAGACAGTCTGTCTTACCGTGGACACATGAACATCAAGGCTTTTGGAGATACTTTTGTAACCCTTTCCAGCTTCATGCAAGTCAACAATTCTTGATCGTAGGTCTTCTGATAGCTCTTTTCTGCGAGGCATGGTTCACATCAGACAGTGCTTCTTGAAACCAGTAAACCCAAAACAGGTGTGTGTTTTTTAAGGGCAGGACAGCTGTCAGCAACACATCCAATATCATCACACTGATTGGAGTCAAAGTTGGCTCACTCCTGGCTCCAATTATCTCTGGGAGAAGTCATTAAGCTAGGGCTTCACATACTTTTTCCTCCCTGCACTGTGAATGTTTACATGTTATGTGCAATTAAACCATGGCAACATCTAATATTTGTGTAGTATTATGTTCAGCAGACTGTGTTCTTCTATTGTTGTGACTTAGATGCCGTTCAGAGCACATTTTATGCCCAATTCATGCAAAACTCCACGTAATCCCAAGGGGTTCACATACTTTTTCTTGCAACTGTATCTAATAAGAACATAAATGTATAATTTACAAAGCTCGTTAGTTCAGGCTTAAAATTTCACATACACAAGTAAATGAGTCAGAGCAGTGACACCCTCTACCCCTACCTCTATAAAACATCATCTGAGGTTTCAATGAGAGACAGAATGCATTGAAAGGAGACTATTGCTGTGCCCTCTTTACAAAACCCTTAGTTCTCTGGGAATTCTTTGCCATGTATTACTTGTTTATTTTTAAAATAATATGCAGTATATATCATGTAGTAAAATACAGATACAAAAACAAACCACAAAGGTTTATAACATTCTAAACAAAAAAACCCACACCAATAAAATTTACCTGCATTCTAATATAGGTTCTTTTTAAAGCATTCTCGGATGCCGGAGGCTAATATGAAATCATTTCCCCTAGGCTATGTTCTATTGTTAAGAGTCAAATGTTTATTTTACAGTAATTTACGTTTAACAACAATCAGGTAATTGTCTCTGTAGTGATAACGCTAATGTTTCCAACTTAGCGATCACTTTAGGCAATTTAAATTATAGCAGTGAAACTGTGTAATTGTATGTTGTGATTTTCTGGTTGACCTTTCCAGCTCATTGAGGAGGTATGTCTGCCAGTGGAATGACAGAAAAACCCACTGTTTGTTTTCTGTAAGAATAATTATTTCTGAGATTCTAACCG